ATGAAAAATCTGATTATAGTAAAATTACTAATACTGCTAACATAGTTTTGATTTACTAGTTGAGTTACCACCCCACTACGTACGTACGTTCGTACTAATCCGTGAGTTTCTGTGGTGTTCTGCTCCAAACTCTTGAATGACCTTCGAATCTCAGCTCGCTACGGTTCCTACGAACAATGAGAAATCGATTTGTGTTGGAGTTTTAGGTGCATTTCTATTTTGATCTAGCTTGAACTTATTGATGCAAATACTTGTTGAATATTAACAATTAAACCTTTTAAATAGCTCTTCAAGGTGCCTTTCTTGAACACATACATTTACTTCAACGTATTCCACAAGTATCTCGAGCAGTTCCTGTACGTAATATTGAACAACTTAATTCTGTTGACGCTTTGATAATACCTGGTGGTGAATCTACTGCTATTGCTCTAGTGGCTGAACGTTCAGGTTTAATTGAACCTTTGCGCGAATTTGTACGCTCGAAACCTACATGGGGAACTTGTGCAGGGATGATCTTATTGGCTAATAAGGCCAATAAAACTAAAAAAGGAGGTCAAAGCTTAATAGGCGGATTGGATATAACTGTTAATAGAAATGAGTTTGGAAGTCAGGCAAGTTTTAGTATGATATTTAAATATTTAGAAAAAAACTGCTAATACTAATTTTATTTTTTTTAATAGATAAACTCATTCGAATCTGCTATCCAAATTAAACAAATCACTACCTCATCCAATGATCTTTTTCCGGCGGTATTCATTCGTGCTCCAATAATTTCATCCATTAATTCTCCTGATGTAGAAGTCCTGGCTCGACTGCAGTGTAATAGTGAAGAAATTGATGTATCTGCAATTGTAGCTGTCAAGCAGGGTCATCTATTGGCAACAGCTTTTCATCCTGAATTGACCAATGATGATCGATTACATGGATTTTTTGTAAATGTTGCAATTGATTTTTTGAATGAAAAAAAGTGAATTATGAATATACAATTTTATTTATAAAAAAAAACTAGAAAATATAATAATCCCTTGTGATCTTAATATATATATGTAATAATCTAGTAACAGTTTGATACTTAAATCTCGCACTTTTAATAATGTAGTAGACATTTTTTAAAAAATATTTATACAAAAAAAAAATAAATTTGTTCAGAAATTTATTTTTTTATTGTGGTAGCTAGTATTAAATAGGTTAATAATAAAATTTTGATCTATTTTTTAAACTTTTTTTTTAGAATTTAGATTAAAAGGATCTTCTATAGTATAGGTGGGCAATATAGAAAATATTACAAGATTATAATATATAAAAACTCTAACCCTAACCCTAACCTAATCTTAATTTAAACTATATCCCTCACCCTAACTCTGATTATTATAAATTTGCTTAAATTAGTTCAAATATATTACAGTATAATCTTATAATAATCCACCTATACTATAGATCAACCTATTTATACAGTATTGTCTATAAGATATATCTTTAATAAAGCTAATCTTGAATATTATTATTAAAAATTTTTTAATCATATATAGCTTATACTACTGTATATCTTGAAATTTTTTAAAATTTATTATAAGGTAGCTCGTCTAAAACATTAAATACGATAATCAAACAAAAATGTAAATACTCAAAAAAATCTGTAGTTGGTATGTAATATATGAGTGTCGTCAAGGGAAAGCCTAATTAAATAGATTATGTTAGGTACAAAATATAATTGAAAGCTCGACGACAGGCTTTCCCCTGACGGCACTCGTGTATTTATTAGGGTAAAAGCTCAAATATCAATGATATTTTAAATATCAATTGGACCTTGAACTGTCAGGCATCTAAACATTACAGATAAAAAGACTTGATTATTCTTTTTATTGGAATATTGCAAAAAATCTAAAAGTTCAGTGGGTATTCCGATAACACCGTATTACGGTTTTTTATATAGTGATAATTAAAAAACCTTAAGGCTAATCAAATATTGTATCACTTTCCATTGATCTAAATTCATTGTTTAAGTACATTATATCTCTAATGATATAAAGTATATTTTGATATTACACAATAAAGTATGGCTCAATAAATATACAAAAAAAGAAACAACCTTTTGTAATGATCAAAGTTTATAAGTGAATTATTATTATTATTATAAGAAATCGATCAGTCGATTTTGAAAAAAAAAAAGACTGGCTAAATCAAAAATTAGCTTTATCAATTTTTTTTTTCATTATTGATCAGGATCACCATTTCAAACTAGTTAATTTAATCCCAGCCTTCTCCCTGATTAACATTTTCTGTTGGTTCATCCGCCCAATTACCACTAGGGTCACCACCAAAAGGTGCACCTTCAAACGCTGTAGTAGTAGTAGTAGTAGTAGTAGTAGTAGTAGTAGTAGTCTCGGTAGGTTCATTAAAACCAGTAGCAGTCTCTCCATATGAAGAATCAAAAGTACTCTCGCCCCATCCACCAGGTTCTTCAGTTTCTTGTGTATCCCAATTTGAATCCCCAGTAGTTACTGGATTAGCAGTAGCAACCATGGCAACAGAAGGATTAACACCACCAGGTGCTGTTATGCCAGACGCATCCCAATCAGTAGGAGCTTCTTGTTGCTCCCAACTAGATTCCATAAATGGAGTAACAGTTTTCTCTCCCACGACAGGTGCGGTCTCTGTTTCTTTCTCTGTTTCTTCTGGATCACGGTAAAAGAACATATCAACCATAACATCCCATGGAGAGTCTCTTGCAATGGTACCTCGAAGACGAAGCACTTCACGAGCCAACAACCAATAAATTAAACCAATTGAATGCTTGGCCTTATTATTGGTTGGAATCGCAACGTCAACAAAACGAAGAGGAGAATCCGTATCAGCTAATGCAATAACGGGAATGTTAACATAAGACGCTTCCTTGATGGCTTGATGGTCAGTCCTCGGGTCTGTCACAATAATCAAGCGAGGCTCTTTGAAAGATCTAGTAATATAATTCGTAAAAGTTCCAGGAGTAAATCGACCAGCAATAGGCTGTGCACCGGTGTACGAAGCATATTTCAATACAGCACGTTGACCATATGGACGAGCTGAAATTATTACAACATCTGCGGGATTTTCAATGGCAGTAATAATACGGGCAGCGAAAATCAATTTTTCCCATGTCTTGCCAATATTAATTATATGAACACCTAGAAATAAAAAAGAGTAAATTGATCCATAAAATTGACAAATAAAAATAGACAAATGCAATTGATGTATTTTTAATAGATTTTTTTTTTTTTAAAAATAAAAAAAAAAATTACCGTCAGCACGACGTTTAAAGACATAAGGAGTCATTTGAACATTTAAGTTTTTGGCACCGATATGACATTGTGCCGCCAGGAGGAGTTGGATATCCTCTTCTGTGGCTGTTTTCCAATTTGGATTAATAAACCGATAATTCACAGAAATAAATTTATTCGAATACAAAAGTTAAATATCCATCCAAACCATCGATACTATATATGCATTAACAAATCAATAAGTAAAGTACCGTTCAAAATGGCTGGAAATTTAGACATCACTGTCAAGTTATGGGACAGCTTTTCGCCGATTCCAATAGAAGGGAGGTCTTAAAAATGCGCAACGAAATCAGAATTTATAGGTCAAAAAAAAATTTTTTTGATTTATGACGTCATCCAAGATCGATTATCAACATGTGAAATCACGTGTGTGCCTAGTTAGAAGTTCAATAATTATCCTAGAGACTTATCGTAGGAGCAATGGGAAAAAGGAAACGTTCGTTCCGTCCGCCACCTACTTACGAGACAGGAAATGATAAGTTTGACAATCAAGGGGGAAGGATAAAAGCAATCACCACATGGAATGATGTAGAGCATGATTCGGAAGACGAATGTAAGAATTAACATCATAAACTTGTTTGATTTAGATCGGTATTTACAAATTATATGACACAAATGTGATTGCCTTGTAAACAGTTTATGCTGGAAGGGATCAAATTTCCCTAGATACTTATGAATCCCACAAACATGGTATGCTTTTTTTTTTTTTCCCTTCATTTTGAAAGGACAAAGAATCATTCTTTTATCATGGTTTCATAAAAATTTATGCCTTCGTTAATAGACGAATCAGAGTTATCTGAAGAAGAAGTATTCCCATTGGAGACGGCGGCTTCCTCGGATGAAGATGAAAATGAGATGAACAGTCTTGAGGAAGATGACTCAATTCTTGACTCTAGGTGGGGAGGCCGCAAAGAAAATTATTACAATGCAGATGAGATTTCTAATTTAGATGATGCAAAGGAAGAGGAGGAGGAAGCATTAAGGTTACAGAGGAAAAGAATTAGTCAAATGACAGAAGATGATTTCTTGGAAATAGACAACGAATTATTGGAGCCCAAGATGGTATTTATCTATAATAATTTAATTAGACTTATTCCGCACAAACAATAATATGAACATAAACATTCTTGTTAGGTTGATAGGAAGCAAATTGAAAGTGCTGATAATGATAATGACTTTGATTTAATATCACTTGATAGGTGAGTCTTTAAAAAGCATTTGTTTGATTTTATTGTTTCTATGTATTTATAAAAACTAAGGCGAATTTAAAAGGGAAATTTCAGTAAAAGAACGTCTAAATTTATCACGAGATGATGTAATTCAAACAATACAAACTGAATCGCCTGAACTTATTGAATTATTAAATGAGTTCAAAGAAAAATCCTCGATACTTTGGAATAAAGTTACACCTTTATTGGAAAAGTAAGTTACATAAAATCTATATATTTTTATATTATTTCTATGAATGTTACTAATTAGCTTAAATTGTTTGCTAGAGCTAGACAAAAAAATCTTACAAATAATCCAGCCATGAAGTTTATATCAATAAAACATCAAACATTAGTTCATTATTTAATAAATATTTCGTTTTATCTGGCTCTTAAGTCATCAGGAACACAAAATTTACGCAAGCATCCAGTAATAGATGCTCTAGGAAAATTGAGAATGACTTGGGATAAATTAGAAAGGTTGGAACGTAACATTGAAGGAATTCTTGAATGGAATGATTATGATAAAAATATGGCAGCTGATCTCAATAACGAAGAGGATCCAACTGATCTCAATAATGAAGAAGATCTAGCTGATTTCTATAATGTGGTGAAAGAAGCCAAGAAAGTTACAAAAGAACAACGTAAGAAACAATTTGAGATGGAGCGTAGTAAAAATATGTAAGTTATATTTTCGTTATTTTAACTATACTGCATGAACAAAGAATATTAAAAAGCCTTTATTTGATAAACAGGATTGTTTATGAGGACGATAATACTCTTCCCGAAGGTGCCAAACGCCAAATTAATTATCAGATCCTCAAGAATAAAGGACTCACACCTCATCGTAAAAAAGAGCAGCGTAATCCACGTGTTAAACATAGAAATAAGTACGAAAAAGCAAAGAAGAAAATCAAAAGCATTAAACGTGTATTTTCACAACAAGAAGGTTCTTATGGTGGTGAGAAGACTGGTATCAAGACTGGATTGTCTAGGAGTACTAAGTTAGAATAAACTTTTTAACTTTTTTTCAGGTAATTCAAAATATCAAAATATTTTGATGTATATTAAATTAAACTATCTATTTTGTCTGTCGAAACAAATGAAACTATATAATAATTGGTCTTATTTTCTTACGACAACGAGAAAAACACCAATTATTTTTAATCCTAATGTGATTAATGTTTAATCAATGTTAAAAACTCTTCTCTAGTCTTTGCCTGTTCCCTAAATACACCTAACATAACACTTGTTGTAGTAGAGCTTCCGGGTTTCTGTACCCCACGCATTACCATGCACAAATGGCTAACGATCCAAAATTGATCCAAAATCAATTAAAACACAGTTATTAAAGATGATAATCATTAAATAGCATTTATAAAATAAATACATACGTTGCCTCCATTACAACAGCTACACCTTGAGGTTTTAATATTTCTTGCAAAGTAACAGCGATCTGTTTTGTTAAACGTTCTTGAAGTTGAAGTCGTCTCGAAAACATTTCAGCGATGCGAGCAAGTTTTGATAAACCGAGCACACGACGATTTGGAATGTAACCTATACTGATCTGTTGTTTAAAGATTATGAGGCATATATTTATATCAAGCTTAGCATAAACTTTATTATGATCAAGGTTCTCACCTTTCCAGTAAATGGTACTAAATGATGTTCACATAAGGAGAATACGTCTATATTTTTAACAATGACCATTTCGTCATGATCTATTTTAAAAAATGTATTATAATTAACATACGAAAAATATGTGTTATGCTGCATATAATAAAATTAAATTAAATATACCTTCTTCGAAAATCGCACCATTAACGATCTCTAATATTGTTAAATCGAAAGATTAATAAGTAAATTCTAGAAATAACCTAGATAAATTGTTCAAATTAGATTGCATACGTTCAATACTCTCTTCATAACCTTTAGAATAGAACATTAACGATTGTGCACACCTTTCAGGTGTTTTCAACAATCCTTGTCGTGTAGGATCTTCACCGATACATTCTATAATCGTTTTAACAGCTTCCGAAAGTTTTTTTACACGTTCCTCCTTTTGTTCATTAGTCTCGTTTAGCCGCTGTTTAGTGCCTATACCTATCATTAAAAATGAATATTATAAATAATTCTCTAATCAAAAAAAATAAAATAAAATAAAATAAAATAATAAAACACTAACTCGGCCAACTTAAACCGTCTATGTCGATAGGAGAGTCACTGCGAATTACGGGTGAATAAGGGCGGGATATTATTAGGCCATTAGTACTAGAAGTAGCCTTCTGAGGTACTGGAGCATGATAATCAGTTTCCTGAGTAAAGTCCATTATTAAAATCAAATCAATAAAAAAAAAATTGATTAAAAAAAAAATCGCGGATTATGTCATTATATTAACAAATCTTAATACCACGTGAGGACCAGGCAGAAAACTTTACTGGTCAACAGAAGAACTATTTATTGTGCAAAGTTCTCTACTCGTAGTTATTGTCAAGTTACAACCTGAAAATTATATTAACCATCTGATTATCATTCACTTCTTTATTTATCATGAACACAGCCTATCCCGAATTACGTATAACAATAATAAAAAAATTATATTACGAATTTTCAATATTCATGTGATATCCCACCACTAATTTTGGAGCTGAATGAAACAATTATTTTTAAATACGTATAATTTTACTTTTATTATAAATTTTGCATAAACGAATAAAACAAATTACCGTTAAATTAAAATAATTCCGATGACATTTGTGGAACAATTTTCACAATTTTGGAATAGCGATAGACATTTTTATATGGGTAAATTCGAAAATTTTAATGGCAGAAAAAAGCATAGTGGCGCAGTTAAATGTTACTAATAATAGATGCTTTATAAATTTTATAGTGTATATATAGCGATATATAGTTAAAATTAACTCGATCGATTCTAAATCATTTTATAGCGAACTCTGGATATAGCAAATCATGAATTTATGATGTATATATAATTGCTTTAAGAAATAGTAATTTTTATATACCTTCTTTTCAAGAATCATGTTATAAATATCGTTATATATTTAATGCATTATGATGCATTTCTAATAAAATCATAATTGTAAAAACTATCAAATACGTATCTAAAATTATTTTATTACGTACAAAAATTAGTACGTATCTCTTAATCTATAGCTATTTTATATTCATGCATATTTGGAATTATTACATACGTATACGTATTAAAAATGACATAATCATTTTAATCATTTATAGTAAATAAACTTTGGAAGACGATAGTTGATAAGGCGAGTTCAAAAATGTTAAAATTTAATCACAAGTTAAAAAAAAGAACAATTCTTTGTTCTATAAATTATGAAAATAAGTATCCTACTTTTCATATTTTTATGGCGAAAATTGAGTATGAAATAAGTTCTACACCTTCGTATTCAGCTACGTACAAATAAATGGGAAAGATTGATTTAATTTATTTACATAAGTTTACTGTATTATATATAAAATTTAATATAAGGTGAAGGGAGATATTCTGGCGGAGTTAAAATTTATCAAAATTTGCTTATTATAAAATATTACTAATTACAATTTTTATTTCAAAATAACAATTCTCTATCTATTTGATTCTAATATAAAAAAAAAATCAAGTTGACTTGTGTTTGCACAATTTTTATTAGTGCGAAGTAGCTTCAACGGTCAGGAGAGCGACATATTAACAAAGCAACAATACATATCGATATTGTTAAGTTGTCACTTACTTTCCATAATTGTACTATCATAGTCATGTTAATCTTACCTTAGTAGTATTAGGCATTATTATTCATGCAAGCGCGTCTACGCTCAAAATAGCGCGTATACGCGATTGCATAAATTTGTTTGTAATCATTGCGCCTTGAGCAAATGTGGAATCTACAGCGTAAGCGTTGAAATCCCTATGTTGACAATCTGTAAAATTAGAATGTATATAAGAGTATGTCTTCATCCTTAGTTGAGGATAACATTCACTCTCCAAATTCCTCTATAAATAAAGGTCACATATACTGTATTCACATTCTTTTGTAATAAATGCCTAATAAATCATGAATATCCGAATAAAATTGTAATTTGGCAAATGAGCACGTGCCGCTTTGCGGCTCTTGTAGCCAATCATTTATCAAATTACATAATGGTGTTATCCGACAATTTATGGAGTGTCCTAATTTCCCCCACCACTTCTGATTGGATGCTGTAAATACTGTCGGATTTGGCGGAGTAAATCACAAAA